CATTCTTTTTTATTGAAACATAATCGATTATACATATTTGTGGGGTACAGAGTTGAATATCAACATCTGAGTACTATGTGTGATGATCAAATTAGGATAATTAGCATATTAATTATTACAAAACATAATCATTTCTTTATGTTGAGGACATTCAATCTCCTTTCTAACCATTTGATAACATACAGTAAGTTAATGTCAATTATAGATGCCTAGCTTGACTATACATCATTAGAACTTATTTTTCCTAACTAGCTGTTTTGTGTCCATTAACCAATTTCTCACTATGCCCCCTCTCCCTCCCCCTTTCCTGCCTCTAGTAACCACAGTTCTGTTCTCTCCTTCTGAAATTTCAACTTATCTTAATTGTCATATTGGTAAACAAAAGCATATATAAGGTTTGACAGAACTGGGAGAGTAAATGGGTAAAGGTATGAACAAATAGGAATTAGGGGCTATTAGTAGGATAGGAAGATAACATTTCCAAAGCAATCATTTATTCCTAAATATTATATGATGTATTAATCTCCTTTCTTAGCTCCAATCTATAAATATTCCTTTTTTTAGTGGCCTAATCATGAGATCCAGAGAGTAAATATGCTCTTTTCTCCAATGTTCAACAATATCTAAAATGCAGTATGAAATGTAGAATTGACAGAACACAGGAGTTTGATCACAGATTGGAGGTCACCAAATGAGAGAGAAGAAGGGATCAAGAATAATTGTTGTGTTTCTGATATGAGCAATCTAATTGATTGAAATACTACTTACTGAAATGGGAAACAAGAATAGTTTAGTTTGGGACATGTTTTTTAGATTTCTGAGAGATATCCAAATGGAGATATCGAGTAGGAAGTTGACTATGTGAATCTGTAGCTCAGAAAAGAGATCTGGGCTAGAGTTATCAATTTGTGGATAATCAGCATATAGGCGGTATTTAAAGCCACAGGTCATACAACCTAGGAATTAGAATGTGGAATGTGAAGAAAGAAGATCTAGAATGAAGACTTGAGGCAGTCCCACTCTTTTTGTGGACAAGAGGAGATCCAGAGAGGAGTGGCTAGAGAAGCAGGACAACTAGGAGAGAGCCAAGAGAAGGGGGTATTTGAAAAAGAGGATGAGTCAATTGTGTTGAGCGCCTTTGAGAAATCAAATATGAAGGAAACTGAAAAGTGTCCATTGGGTTTAAACTTGTTGGACATTGGTAACCTTTGCAAGAGTAGTAGCATTGTAGTGGTGAGAATGGAAACTAGATTAGTAAGGATTGGATATTGAAAGGGAGATGAGTAAGTTTAACAACTTTGGAACACTTGGCTGTAAAGGAAAGTAGAGACAGAGTGGTAGCTGAAAGGAGATATGGGAGTCAAGATAAGTTGTTTGTTTTTGTTTGTTTTGTTTTGTTAAAATATGGGCAATATTATAGCATGTTTAAATGCTGAGGAAAGGAGCAGAAAGGAAAAGTTTGCAGATACAGGAGAGAAGAGGAGTTGACTAAATGGGGTGAGGTTCCTGAGAAACCTGGAGGGATAGATAAAGAGCTCAAGGCCTGGGACAGGAGGAGAAATCCCCCTTCAACTGTCAAAGAGTTGGGGTGCAGAGGGGTAATTAGAGAAGAAAAGGATGAGTGCCGATGCTAGTATTGTCCAGAAGATTTGAGAGGAACAAGTGGGAGTTAGGGGCTGTTGGTAGGATAGGATGAGGACATTCTCACTGAGTGGCTTCCATTTTCTCCATTCAGGGCAAAGTCATCAGCTGGAGTTGCAGTGGGAGAGGAGAGCAATTAAAGGGTTGGGAAAAGTAGGGAAATGTTATGAAAGAATTGTTGCAAACCATGACCTTGTTTCATCGGTTATCTTATTTTATTTTTGAATCTTCACTAGTTTGTTCTCCAATTCTACCTCTCTGCCCCAAAATATTATAAAATCTCTCCACTTTACTCCTATCTGCTTCAGTCCTTACCTTTTCACTTTTTCATTTTCTCAGCTTTCCTGTTTTCTTTGACTACCAAATTTCTTAATACAGTAATTTATGATAATTACCAATTCTTTCTCATATTTCATTTGCTCCTTAAATCTTTAGGGGTTGGGAAAAGGAAGATGACCCAGTGAAGGAAGTGAAAGAGGCCTCAGACAAGTAGGAGGGAAATCAGCGTAGAGCAGCCTGGAGGAAGCTAAGTATGGAAAAAGGTTTAAGAGCTAAAACCAATCAATTCACTCACCTCTTCTTCGCTGGGGCACCTGGAAGGAATAATTGGTTATTCCTTCAATACAATGACAGAGCTCTTCTTATACCATTTACATCATTGTTCTCATAACAATGGTTTATAATTAGTTGCTTGCATGTCTGTTGCTCCCATACTCAATTATTATTAGCTCTTCAAGTTAATATTACTCTTTTCCTTCCCTTTCCTTTTATTTTCTTTTCTTTTCAATTCATCTCCTATAACATCTAGCATTGCAACCAGTGCAAAATTGGCACTCAATACATGTTTTGCTGAATTAGTGAAGCATTTTATCCAATGTGTGGCTTAATTACATCTTCAAATTCAGGACTGAAATTCTAGCATAAAGCATACATATCATGTACTACCATTCATTTGTTCAGAAAATATTGATTAAATATCTACTATTGCCCGATTCTATTGTAAGTGCCAGGGGTACAACCATAAACAAAAGAGACAAAAATTGATTTTTGTAAACCATCTACAAATCATAAAACTGACCCTTATGTGTATTCTTGGTATTTTTCCTCTTTTCTAATCCCATACTATCAAAGGCTAAGGCATTCATTAAGCCTGCTATGCATAAGGAGTGTAAGGCTCCTTTCTCATTATTGCCTTTGCTTCCCACACCCTGTCGAACACAGGTTTCTGTAGCTACTACCCTTGATTCCTTCAGCTTTCTTCCTTTCTCGGACTATGGAAATCTCTGTAAGAGTTGGTGAATTACAACTATGATAACCATATTTTTAAATTTACAAATCAGAGCACTGTTCTTACAAAAGGTTTATTTTTCCTTATTTGTAAACATATTTACATAAAAGGTCTTACCTTTTATGTGTAAGATTTGTCATATCTAATTATTCATATAATGAATAACCTTAATTAAAAAGTATTCAATTACAGGAAGAGAAATAGAAAATAAAGCCAAGATGTATATTAGTTAATACAATATTTGCATTGTCATTTTCATCTGCTGTTGAAATGATGGCATATTATTCTCCTCATGCTTGTTTAAAGAACTGAGCTTGCTTAATAATTGTTTATTCTTTCCATTTTTTTCTCAGAATTTCTTGGCAAGTCTCTGAATGCTTCATATGGATTATCAGGAAAAATTTTAGAATGCCAATGGCGCCAATGGTTATTCCAATCTCCAAAAGTTGTTAATGAGAAAAACAAAACAAAACAAAATAAAAAGCAAGCAAACAAGCAAACAACAACTCTCCTCAGTCCTTGAGTTTGAACAGAGAGAGGCTAAGTTTACAATTTTCTTTCTGTTTGGAAGAAAAACATTAGCATGTTGAAAATCTTTAAGAATATTTAACCAACTTTGAGCTATAGATACATTTTCTTTTGTCCCATTTTGCTAGCAATTTCTCATGAAGATATGACTTAAGGCCACAGTTCATTCAGATAATATGACTAGCCCAATTGCATATTTTCTAAGATTTACCTTTCTGGGACTCCCCAACTGAACCAAGCAAAGCGTACAGTTTCAATGAAGATTTCCTTTCTAAATGATTAGGTAATTATTAATCTGTAAATAGCCAGCTACCTACTACCTCAGGTCCAAATCATAATAAACAGCATTTTAGTAGTTTTCATGTTAATTTATTTTACTTTGGGTGGTAAAATTAGCTTTTTCTTCTTACAATTCTTTTACGATGACCGATATTCATATGAGAATTTTGGTGCTAAAAGATAATAGTAGCGAACATTTATGGAGTGCTTCCTATGTGCCAGGCAGTGTGTTGAGTGCCAGCATAAATTCTCTCACTTAATCTTCACAACAATCCTATGAGGTGGGTAATTTTATATCTTTTGTAGTAAAAAAATAGAAGCACAGAGAAGTTTAGTAATTTGCCCAACATCACCAACTGCAGTCTCAGGTCTGTCTGAAACCAGAGTTCCTGCTCTTAGAAATGCACTGTTATGTATCCTCTCTTCCATAGGTTTTGCCACTCAACTTTGAAATCAACATCATGGAAAACAATGGTATTTGTTGAGAAACTGAATGGTTTTTTGATAGTTTAAGAAAACAATGGTGCAGAATATTTTAAATGGGAACTGTCCCAGAAAATTCAATGTATTTGGTCTCCATAATTAAGGCACATTAGACACAGACACACTTGAAAAACTGGAAAACAAAGTAATATTTGCATTAAATAAAGAAGGTTATGGCTAAAGACAGTGGAGAACTGGGAATAATGAGGAGGAAAGAATGAGGCTGAGAAACAAAATTTGTTTTTCTAACTGAGGAGAGCTAGAGGGAGAAAAACCCATAAATCACTCCAATTGTTACTGAAAAAATACTTGTAAAGCTCTTCAGTTCAGCAAAGGTTAAGAGAACAATAATGTTTTGTCAGTCCAAGGTAGCCAAGGAGCTGATTGGAACAGAAAGCTTATCCTGTGTGGCCAGAGAGGACCCACTTAAAGGGTTCTTGTCTTAGCTTCTCTAATTGGGCAGGCGAGAATTCACTCCCTCTTCTCTTACCCTCATGACTCTGTTTTGCTTGTGGTAAAGCAAAGTCATGCTGGTATCCTGGCTTATTCTCTAAAACTCTAGTGTGGCAATTTTAGCAGAGCTAATAATTAATATAAGCGTTTACAAAATTTTAACATCCTTTCCCTTTGTTAGCCATTATGAAAATTAATTAAGAAATGACATCATTAAATTCGTTATTGCCATCATGAAAACAAATACATATCCCTACTTATAATTGGTGCAGTCCTGGAACTAAAGAAACTGCATTTCCAGAGGGAGACATGTCAAGCAAGATTGGAAATGGGCACTCTATGGGGATTCACAACAGGCCTTCCATCCCAGATTTCAGAAACCCAGATGAACAGAATGGCCCCAGAGAATCACCAGCCAGATGCTTTTACCAACACGAATGATTCCAGCATGAACTTGATACCACAGGATCCAGCTAGTCCCGTGCCCCTGATGAACAGAATGCCCCTCGTGACTCCTCACATTTTAATCAACATGGGTGAATCCAGCATGCACTTGATGCCACAGGATCAAGCCAATTCCTCAATATGGAAGACGCATCAAGAATGTGCCACATTCACCCACAAACAGTATGAAGAGTTGGAGGCTCTGTTTAGCCAGACCATGTTCCCAGATAAAAATCTCCAGAAGAAACTAGCTTTGAAACAATCTATTGAAGTCAACAGTGAAGGTTTGGTTCAGGAACAGGCGATTCAAATTGAGGAAGCAGCAGCAGCAACAGCAGCAATCACTAAAACAACAAAAACAATTCCTTTCAGCCAGGAAGAATATGCCCATCTCACTGAGCACATCCACCAATCCTTATTCTCTTTTTCCTGTGGTTTTGGATTTCTATAGCTCCCTCCCTCCTCAGACCTTAGGCCCTTCCAGTCAGGCCCGGGACTCTATCTTCACTGGGAGTTCCACAAGTGATTTTCAAATGCAAGATCCTCAGTTGGAGAGGCTAGTGGCCTCAGTTCCTGCTTTGTACTCTGATGCCTATGACATAGCCCAAATCATAGAACTGTACAGTTTTCCTGATGAGGACGAGATATGCAGCTCTTCCTTCCACTGTCTATATCAGTATCTCTCACCCACAAGGCCCCAGCTACAAGGACAGGGTTCCTCTCTCAGTGCTTCTGTTGGTCCAGCTGTAGATCTATCTCCTTGGCAAACTCAGTCCAGTAGGACAAGCCAAAACTGGTCCAGTATGGCAAGCCAAAACTTTGCAGCCTATAGTCGAAGAGACAGCCTGGAATTCCAGAACACGTCCAGTATGGTAGGCTTTCAATTTCTCTGATCAAAGCCTAGTAAATACCAGACAATTTAGAAAAGAGATCTCCTTACCTCTTGCATATGACTCTCTTTTTTCCTTTTTCTGATTTTTAATGCAAATATCTGGGTCAGTATCACTTTGATTTCCATGGAAATATTGTAAAAACTAGAGTTTTTTTCCCAAGTAAAGCTCATACTACACAATCAGCCCTACAACTCTCCCTGGGGAAAGACCTTTCTCATCCCTTAGATGACCAGTGAGACTCCAAAATTCCCTCTTCCCAAAACTATCTTGAAATTTTTAAAAGAGGGACATTAGTTTTAGGGGTCATCCACTTTTAGTGAGAGAAGGTTATAAACTTATATCATATTTCCAGTCTTTAGCTTTGGGGTTTTTTAAAGGGAATTTTTTTTGGTCAAAATTTGAGGGGAAATCACCATTATCATTAACTTTAATATAGTACAAGAGTCCAGAAGTAGTAAGAGGTATAAGAACTGGTACAGGAAACTCTGCAGAGGCCCCACCAGGAAGAAGGCCCTTGCCAGATGTGCCCACTGGACCTTAGACTTCCCAGCCTCTAAAACTGTAAGAAATAAATTTCATTTTTCTTATAAATTATCCAGTTTCAAGTATTCTTTTATAAGCAACAGAAAATGGATTAATACAGGATGATAATCTAGGAAAACTGACAAAATCAATAGTCTAACTTTAAGAATAACACTTCAGCACATTTTCCAGCTATATGATCAACCTACAAAATTAATAGCATTTCTCAACACTCACACAACAAAATGTCCAGTTAAAAAGAAAAAAAATGGAAAGCAAAATAGTATATGCTGAACTCTTCCAATTTGTTTAAAAATGTCCTGGAAAAGACTAGAGATAAATGGCTAGATTTTCTATAATAAGCACACCTTACTTTTATAGTCAGATATACATGTACACACATACAAATAGAAATACTAAAAAAACTGTGATCTTCAGGAATCTCTAATTGGTTGAAAGACACTTTCAAGAACCCCTGTGTTTTTTGCCCACCATAGGCTACAGTTCATCTCTGTTGGCTAATACCTACAGGGGTACACTTAATTAACTTTTCAATAGGGTTTGCAGTGTTTAGGGAGAGTATGGTGAACCTTGACTAAATAAATCAGAATTTAGTCTCTGATTATAGAGACTAAAAGACAGAATTTTGGATTGGAAAGAACCTTAAAGGTCATCTAGTCCAAACACCACTTCTCTCCTTCAGTTCCAGCTACAGTCAACCCATAGTTGAAAGAGACTTTTATACTAATATTAATGGGAAAGTAAATTCAAATCTAAAGGCAATTCCTATAAACTATTTCACTGAACTAAAAGAATAATGAAAATAATAACAATATATTTGTTAGTGGTTTGCATTCTACAAATCACTTTTACATACATAACCTCATTTGTTTCTTATAATAGCCTACATTTGTGCCTATATAAAAGGGGAAATTGAAGCTTATAGGCTTAAAGCACTCCTTAGTGCCATAGCTAGTAAACTTAGGCCTGTCCCACCACTAAATCCCCTTCTCTCACCACATCAAACATGGTTTGATGGATGGATACATGAAAATCTATTTTAGAATATGGACAAATTGAAGCTTATAGGCTTAAAGCACTCCTTAGTGCCATAGCTAGTAAACTTAGGCCTGTCCAACCACTAAATCCCCTTCTCTCACCACATCAAACATGGTTTGATGGATGGATACATGAAAATCTATTTTAGAATATGGACGAGGAGCTTATTTTAATTTCATGTTTAATAGCAAATATTTGAGTTTTGCCCTAGAAGGCATGAGTTCTGTTTGCAATTCTGTTATTGATTGTGTGCTGAGCCATACTTTGTATGTTTTGGTTCTGTCCTAATGACCCCTGCCTGTTTATCTGAAACCCATGAGAGCTATGACATTATTCAATTAACCCCGTGGTTCCCCATTTGTGAGCTTGGACTAGGCTGAATAAGGGATTTTAATGCTGGTTGCTATTCCCTGCTATGTGATAGAAAGCTGACAACTATCAACCAGCACCCCTCCTGAAGTATGTATAATAGTGTCAGAAAAAAAGTCAGATGAAGATTTAGGAAGGAAAGAATTCCTAATTCTCTTGAAAATTTTACCAGAAAGGATTAGTTGAATCCTGTTTTTTTCAGCCCTGTTCTCTTAATAAAATTCTAACTCCTAGACTGGCAAATAATAAGGATGGTGATATAACTTGATTGAGGAGTCAGAAGCGGGTGATAAATTAGGTTGCTCCAGACCCAGTACTGCACAGAAAGCAGATTGGAAATGTTCGCACTTGCTGATATAAACAATTGCCAGCGTGGCCTTATGGTAAGTCTTACATCATCACCCTGCCTGTCACCCAAATCTCCTTCCAGCTGTTTTGATATTCACTCAGACTACAGCCTTTCTGAACAAATTAGTACTGCCTTGCTATTTCTAATTAGTTATTGAATAACTGATTTTCTTCTGTTTTGGTGGGGTACTGCCCTATCACCCTGTTAATATATTTCAAATTACAGTGAAATTTCTTGTGAGATAAGAACCTGCCTTTAGCTTGCCATCCCCAAAGTCTACTGCTCCTAGTACTCACTGTCCCACAACTTCCAAATGTTTTTTTAGTTCTAGTATCTAAACTCCTGATCAGATATTTTCCCTTTTTTCTGTTCCATTTATTTTACCCTAATACTTGAATTTTGTCATAATTAAGTTTTCTAATATCAAACAACTATACAATAGGATTTCTTTGGTTTCTTGAAAGAAAACTAACAGCATAAGAGCTTTAGGATAAGATTTTGTTTTTATTTTTAAAATTTATTAACTTATTTATTTAAATAAGTTTAAATGTATTTGACATGTGATAACTGTACGTATCTGTGGGGTACGGTGTGATATTTTGATATCTGTGTACGATGTATAATGATTAAATCAGGGTAATTAGAATATACATCACCTCAAACATTTATTATTTCTTTGTGTTGGGAACATTCAAAATCCTCTCTTCTAGCTATTTGAAAATATAGAACAAATTACTGTTAACTATAGTCACCCTGCAGTGCTATAGAATACTAGAATTTATTCCTCCTATTTAGCTGTAATTTTGTGTTCGTTAACTGAGGTTTCCCTATCCCCTCCTCCCCCACTACTCTTTCCAGCCTCTAGTTACCGCTATTGTATTCTCTACTCCTATGAGAGCAACTAATTTAGCTTCCACATCTGAGTAAAAACATGCAGTATTTATCTTTCTGTGACTGGCTCATTTTATTTGACAAAATGTCTTCCAGGCTCATAGTATACAATTTATGTGAGTCCAGATTCCTGCTTCAAAATCTACTAGATGTATTGTATTGGGCTTATTACTTAAGCTTTCTTTGCTTCATTTTTCTCACCTGTAAAATGGAGTTTTCAAAAGCTACCATACATGATTGTTATGAGGATTAAATGAGAAACTAAATGTAAAATTTTTTATGCAGATCCAGCTCATAGTAGATGCTCCCCTCAAAGAATATTAGATTTGGTAATCATATTGTTATAGGCTGAATTGTGTCCCTCCAAAATTCATGTGTCGAAGCTCTAACCCTCACTACTTCAAATGTGACCATCTTTGGAGGTAAAATGAGGCTGTTAGGATGGGTCCTAATCCAACTGATTTGTATCCTTATAAGACTAGGAAATTTGGATACACAGAGAGACACAGGATTGTGGGCCCATAGAGAAAAGACCATGGGAGACTTGAAGGAAAGAAGGTGGTCATCTGCAAGCTGTTGAGAGAGGCCTCAGAAGGAACCTACTGACACATTGATCTTTGACTTCTAACCTCCAAAACTGTAAGGTTTAAACAAAAAGTTTCTGTTGTTTAAGCTACTCAATTTGTGGTATTTTGTTATGGCAGCCCTGGCAAACTAATACACATATATATATTCACTATTTCAGAAGAATTGACTCCTCCCACCCCCTTTATCTATTTCAATTCCTGTTTAATCCTGTAGTAGTTAGTAATAGGGCAGTGAAAAAGAATATGATCTTAGAAATTAGGCAGCCTTAGATTTGAAGACTGGATTTGCCACCTAGTGATTTTGGGTGAATTTCTTAAGTGTTTCTGAACCTCAAATTTCCTCATCTGTAAAAGGGAGACAATATTTATCTCATAGAATTAGAATAAGGATCAAATTAAAAGAGATGTTTGTAAAGTTCATAGTACAGTGTTTGGCATATAGATGCTAAATAACTAGTAGAACTTATCATTATTTTTATGTACATTGGACTATTTACATATGTTTTGTCAATCTGGCTTAGTTTTTCCAAGCCTGGCCAGTTTAGTAAATTTTCTTCTCTTTTGTGAAGTGCTACACATGTACATACTTTCTACAATTAATTGATCATTGTTTGGATGTGAAAAACAGCTTCTATCAGCTTCATTACTGGCTTGAATCTAAGATCACAAACCCTTAAAGTAAATAGTAATATATTTTCAACACATATCCTAAAAATCCTTCCAATGTATTAGATTTGTTTAAATGATTTGATGATTTTGCTCCAAAGACCAAGTTTAAACTATTTCCTTTCTTACAGTTCTTCATTCTTGTCATGTCATTTTAAGAAGAAATCATGGCTTATTCAGAAACTCTACCTCAGCAATTCCTCTTCATGAGCTATTCTTCCAGTCTGCAGTGGAATGATTGAAGTTCCTCATTATTATTACCTTACCCAATTCTACAGTTTCCCACATTACTTACCAGATATATTTTATGGTCTGGTCTCCTTCCTGTTACCAGCTGGTTTACAGAATAACATCTTATTGCTTTTTAATTAATTCAGGATGAGTATGCTTCCATAGATAGTTCATGATGCTTCTCTCACCTAGTAAGACTTTAAAGCTACAATTGTTTATGCTGTTCCCTTGCATACACAATGTACTCTGCTTTTTGCTCATTTCTATTATTTGTTCACAGTCTGTGAATTGGTATTACAATATACTGTCTACAGGGCCTCTCTCTCTGAGATTGCAATTATGTTAAAATTTTTACTTTCTGTCATTTATTCAAATTAATATTTACTGGACATTTACTATATGTAAAGCATGGTGCTACTCACTGTGAAGAAACAAAAATATTTTAAAAAGTACCAAAGGGTCCACAATCTAAGCATTCTCTAAGCATTTTAATTTTTTAGGCTTCTAATATTTATCTGGAAGTATTTGTATATTCTTACATAGCTTTTCTTCCACTTCCCATACCTATTTGTTGTCCCATCTGAAAGGACATCTACTGTGTCACCTCTTTTTAACTCAAGTAGGCCATTGAATTCCCTTCAGGGTCCCCAAGAACAGTCTTTGTCAATCTGTTTTGTGTACCTTTTCTTTCTCAGCTCTTCCCCAATTTTTAGAATAAAAACCATCACCTAGTTAGTGACAGTATGGTGATGGGTGCTTTAAGGGGTTTTACTTGCAAACACTACATCTCATTTGCTAATTGGGGTATCTTCTTTCTTCACTCTCCTAAAAAAGACCAAACCACCACTTGCTATAGGCTTGTTTTCATTTATTTGACAATTAAGGGGTTGTAGGTAAACTTGTTGAAGAGGGGAAGGAGGGCATCTAAATCCATTATTCTAGACAACAATGCCTTGTCTGCAAAGAGTTAGAGCAAACTCCTCTCCCCACCCCTTTAAAAATAAAAGTCAGACATAAATAGAGGAAAGCAAGTTCTTTAGCCTTAATTAGCACCAATGCTTTGAAGTGAGCAATAGGCTAGGAAGAAGAGAGGAAAAAAGGTGGGAAAAGAGAGTAAAGACAGGGCCGGCCCGGTGGCTCACTGGAGAGTGCGCCGCTTGCCGCCGAGGGTTCGGATCCCATGTGGAGACCGGTTCCCGCTCACTGGCTGAGCGTGGTGCGGACGCAACACCGAGGGTTGCGATCCCGTTGCCGGTCAGTAAAAAAGACAAAAAGGAAAAAAAAAAAGAGAGAGTAAAGACAAAGATGCATATTATTAGGAATCCAATACAGAATTTGTATCAAGATCTATTTTACATCAGACATGACATTTGTTTCCACCCTTATTTTTACCCCTCCCAAACATGATATAATTCAGTACCATCTGATAAATCTTTAATTAATAACCACTAAGAAACTAACTGTTCAAAAACCCTTTAAGTGCGTGTTACAAGCGAAATATTGTGCCAGGTACTAAACAAGCTAGGATGTACAATTACCGCACCTATCTTCAGGAAGATTACTGTCTAGCTGTGGCAATTAGAGACTACCAGGCGGTATAAGGGGTCACAGAAGGAGTAAAATGGACAGTGAGTACTGAAAAATTCAAAACAAGACGGTGAGCATTGAGCTGGGGATCTGAAAAACAGGTCTATTCCATCTCCACCATTTCCTTGCTATGTGCTTAGACAAGTCGTTTCTCTTTCAAGTCTCTCCCTTCCATCCCCTTCCTTGAAAAAAAAAAAGAGGGGAAAAAAAGAAAAGAAAGAAAGAAGGAAAGAAAGAAGAAGTCATCCTAGATCTGTTAATATGTAAGACAATATTTGGGATGGTGACTAATGAGCTCTGTTGTGTTGCCCAAACTGAAGTCTACAGTAAGCTATGGCCCCCTGAGTTGCCCTTCATTTTCACAAAGACAGGTAGGTACAAATTTTCCCCAATTCAATAGCAGGTCAGGGCTCAGAACCAAATTTTCCCATCCTGATGAGGTTCTTTTTTGGTAACCAATCAGTGCATCTTTCAAAACGATTATTGTGACTCCCAGAAAAAGCTTAAAATATGTTCTTGACACGGTTTACTGAAAGAAACGTTTCTTTACAAAAATTAAACAAATATCTTTGTGTACGTGAAGATGAGGGGAAGGAACAATTCTACTTATTAGAGGGAACAAGGTGAGCAATCAATTCTTTTGCATCTGGAAGGCATATTCCAAAACACTACTGAAATACAATTTCCTCCTGCAGATATGACCTGTTGAGTCCTTATTAGGTTACAGTTTAGGGGTTAATCACAGTTACAAGTTGAGTGCATATAGCAGGGCAGGGAGAGGAGCCCAAGAGATGCACCTGGAGCGCGGGAGGCTCACAGAGGTGAAAAGCTGCACATTTGCCAAATTCACAATGTTATCCAGAGCCAGACCTAAGGTCACCCTCCCTGCTGCCTCGGACTCCAGGTGCCCAAGTTCGCACGCTTGCAGGTATTCTATTGATTCGCATTTGCGTCCTTCAACAGGTAGCGCCAATTACAGAGCCCAAAACACGGCCTCCCAGTATACTGGCCAGTAACCGCTGTCAGTCAAATACCTCACACACTTTTCTAAATTCTCCCCTCCCCCTTTCATTGGCTTTTCCTTCGGCCTATCCTCAAATTTCATCCGCGCCTCGAGACCACGGAACTTGGCCCTACAAGCCTAGGATTGGTGCCTAGGCTATTCCCGCCCTCTGACGTCCCAGAGCACTCCGCCTCCGTCGCCCTCCCGTGCGGCGGGGGAGGAAGGGGCGGGACGAGCGAGGGGGCGGGGCGAGCGAGGGCCGGCTCGGGGCGGGGCTTGCCTCCCACGGCGGGGGGGCGGAGCCTGCGG